CTAGCTTTAGTGATATATTTGACATGAAGTCCACTTAACCTGATATTCACCTGTCACGAGAAAATGTACAACGGCTCAAAGGGCTAAACTCTCAAAGAAGCTTTGACTTTCTGGAAAAATCAAGACAGGGACTGCTTGGGAACCAGAAAGAGCCGATATCCCACAGAGTCAGTGGGAGAAAAACATACCCAATTCCATGTGTGAATTGAAGAAAGTTCTGGGCTAATTTTCAAGCAGAGCAGAATAAAGACTTTGAAAATAGAACTGATAGTGAAGACATTGTCAAGGAAGACAAGACAGAACTCATCTGAAGTCAAGCCGTTGTTTATCTGCTGTATCTGTTTCTGTGATCGGCCAAACAAGTGACTCTCCCCCCCCAAAATATTCTCATCAAGTGCTTGAAACTTGAAAATGTTTTCGTATTTGAAAAAAGAAAAAAGAAAATCTGTGCAGATGTAAACAAGTTAAAGATTTTGGGGTGAGATCATCCTGGATTATCAACCACCAGTGTCCTTGTAAAAGATCCACAAAGGAGAGCAGTCACTCAGAAGAGGTGATGTGACCACGGAGGCAGAGGTTTGAGTGGTTTGGCCACCAGAAGCTGGAGGAGGAGAAAAACGGATTCTCCTTCAGAGACTCCTGTGGGAATACACCCATGCTGGCACCTCGATTTTGGACTTCTGGCTTTCAAAGGGAGACTACATGTAGGTTGTTTTAATCTAACGAGTTTGTTATCATTTGTTAAAGCAGCTCAAGGAAACAAACGGTTTCTTATTGCTGTAATTCCAATACTTAATGACTTAACATTTCCCAACTCACAGTCTCTGTAGGTGGAATCCAGGTGCGGCTGAGCTGGGTCCTCTCTTTCTGGGTTTCTCCCAATTCTATAATCAGGACTCAACTGAAGCTATAGTCTCACTGGACGTTTTGACAGGAAAGCAGTTATTTCTGAATTCACTATTCAGCCCACACATGGGGAAGTATTGCACAAGTGCGTGAATATCAGGGAGTGAAGGTAATTGAAAACTCTTTTAGCAAATCCAAATCTGCCTACTGGCCATATTCTTTCTACATGCAAAATACATTTGATGCCCCCATGGTTTCCAGAATTTCATATAATTATATAAGCACATTTTAAGATCTTCAGTTACTTAATAATGGAAATAAAAATTAGTAAGTTTCTACAGATATTTGATCATATATCTGGTAAATAATGAGGGCTAGAAATAATATTAACTTGAAGCAAGGACTGTGTTTTACAATTCACGAATTTTACTGTTTTCTACAGTTCAAAATTTAGCCTTTATGAATATGTTCAAGTCCACTTTATCCAAAATAACAGAAAATGCCCAGTGGGAGGTGGTTTATGCTTTGGTTGGAATTCACCCCACTAAACCACAGCCTCTGCCATTTCTCCCTTTGCAACCTATAAGCAAATAATTTAAGGAAACTGGATGGGTTTCTGTGCGAGCACAGCATTAAGCCAAGTCCCGAAAACACCCTTTGCACTGCGCACCATTTACTCGCTGCGCTGTAACTGTTTCCGAGCCACTTGAATAATCATAACACAAAATTAAAATATGTCTGTCTATTTGAATCATCATTGACATCTGGAAAATTTTTTTAAATAGCAACTATAATTTCATGAAATTTCCACATAAAACAAATATGAAAATCTACCTATTTCACAGAATTATCATTGTTGGAATTAATGAGCAAAGAGAATAAAAAATGGGCATTGCATCACTCCAGTTATTCTCGTACTGGTTTATTCATCATTTGTTGTTTCTTTTCCTTTTTTTTAAAATTTAAACTATACATCTTTTTCTTTATTAATTTTAGAGAGAGAGGAAGTGAGAGGGGGAGAGAGAGAAACATCCATGAGAGAGAACATCGATTGGCCACCTCCTGCATGCCCCCCACTCAGGATCAGGCCCAGAACTTGGGCATGTGTCCTGGCCAGGAATTGAACTGGTGACCTTTTAGTGCAGGGTCAACACTCAACCACTGAGCCATGCTGGCCAGACTCTTTTCTTTATTTTTATTTTTTTTTAACTTTCTCCTCAGTCTGTTCTTCAGTTGGCCCACACACTAAAACATGATTCATTTTCTAATTCTATAAAATTATGATTTTAGTATTCCACTTTTCATTATAATCATTAGTTATGTATATGTAAGTACATTTCATGTACATCATTTCAATAGCATTATTTTATTTTTTAACTTATTTTATCACTATTTTTAGTTGACTATTTTTTCAAATTGATTCTTATTCATGCTAATTTCTAGATTGAAATATTCTAAGATATTTTTCATATTTTCCTTTTGTAACTATTAAAAACATGTAAACTACTTAATCAGACTTATATAAACTCACATTCCCTCAGTCTTTGCAAATATAAAGTTAGTTTTATATCCTCTACAAGTTATTATTTCTAGTATTCTCTGAGAATAAAAAAAATAGTAAGAGAATGAGAATGAATATCTGACTATGCTAAAACTTTTCTACTTAATTTCAATGTGTTTAAATTCTTTTTTTATACTAATCAAACATATCAACTGTAATATGAATGCTCTCATTATACCTCCGCTGAAATCAATCTAACTTTCACACATTATTACTACATATAATTACATTCCAACATTTATGTAACACTACACACTAAACAAATATTATATATATAGTGTGTTGCAACTGTTAGTACTTTTGAATGAGAACTGACTACAAGATCCAAAGAACATGCAGTTAGAGTATAATCACCCGGAGGCTAAAGAACGGGTAGGTAACTTTTGAAAGAGCAACATGATCCTATTAGACATACGGCTCTCTGTCAGCTAAGGCAGAGGCAGGAGAGTTATTTGCTTTCCTAGGTTCCATGCTGAGCACTTATCACGAGGGTGAAAAGCAGGCAGTAAAAGTGGACTTTTCCCTCTTCGTGCTTACAGAGGATAGAGACATTTGTATTTTCACTTTCTGTTTAAAAGAAAGTGTTCATTTCTCATGTGAGTATTTTCTAGGTTATAGCATTCTAACTGAATATACATTCCAATGAAACAGTTTTTATAAGGCTGTTCCTTGGTTTTGAGGGTCAATGTAAATGTGGATCTAGGTAAAGAGAAAAAAATTAATTAACATTTTGTACTTTAAAAAATTTTTTTCTAATAAATACAAGATCTTGGCTCATTTGGGGCATGAATTATAGCATGTAATAAAACAGAGAGCTGGTACTCTCATGAGGTTATTTTCTCTTTTCTTGAATCCTAGGACATCGCTATAAAGGAGTGAGGGTAGAGAGTAAGAGGGGTGGTCCTCAGAGAAACACTACTTTCTCTTCTTTTTCCCCACCCTTCATTCTGATACCTCTTGTTATCATCTGCAATTCCAATATGATGCAATCACCAGATTAACGGAGATTGAGTGTTTCAGGGTCTTTCTTGCCCAAGACAGACGTGCCCAGGCCAGGTCTCCTTGGTCCGAGATGTCCTGGGTTAGACTTTGTGTGGTTACATTGATTCAGGCAATGGGAAAAAAATCACCTGCCTTTATTATGAGACAGAGTTTTAAGATACCAAATAATCAAAAATTAAACAGGTAGCATAATACCACTATTGAGATGATCTGTGAAAAAAGACCTGTCAACCAAAGAGGGTAGATTGCTCATTTCCTTAAAACACATTTGGCTTTACCAGAAACTGTTGACTATCACAGAAACTGTTGACACATCCTGTAATTATCCATTTCCTTCTCACTCAGAGATACATGCATGATCAATTATGACTTTTATTGTCTTTAATGACTGCCACAATCTTTTTTAGATTCCAAAGCAAAATCTGTGCAAAGATATTTATTTGGGTATGAAGAGTCATTTTTGTGAAAAGAGTTCTGTATGTTCATAAGTTGGTAAAAATGTTATATACTTTTGCTTGACTTTTGAATGTTTCTTAGGATATTTCTTAAATGCTCCAGCATGGCATAGAGAACTGTGGAAAGAGGGGAGTATTAAGCTATGGTAATATGCCCTGGCCAGTGTGGCTTGGTGGGTTGGAGTGTTGTTCCATACCCCAAAAGGTAGCCAGTCGGGGCACATGCCCGGGTTACGGGTCAGGGTGCGTGTGGAGGGCAGCCAATCCATGTTCCTCTCTCACATCAATGTTTGTGGTTCTCTCTCTCTCTCTCTCTAAAATCAATTTTTAAAAAAGAATATGGATAATACGTAATATATTTTTCAAAAATAATTAAGATGATAGAATTTAAATGCTATTCATCAATACTCAGTGAAATGAGTTTTACCGTTTTATATATTTTGTTAAACTATATACTTCCCCCAAAAGTAAGGGGAAAAAAGGACTGACAGATTTATTAATCAATAGTGATAATGAGAAGATAGTAATGATAGAGAGACAGGAATGGGAAAAAAAACAAGGTTGAAGTGGAAAGACAGAGAAAAAGTAGAGAAGCCATGCCTAGTAATATAGACACGGCTGTAATGTGCGAGTTAGCAGATCCCTCAGGAACACCCCGACTCGCCCTGACCAGAGTAGGCTTAGGGAAGATGTCCAGTCTCCAAGCTACCTCTTGACCCTCCTCCAACTGCTTCATATTTCTACCTGTAATTCTAACAGCCACTACAAGAAAATCAACAATACTCTTGAAATTTAGTATTGTTTTAAGCCAGAATGCTTACACACATTATAGATTAAAGTAATTACATGCTAAATATATATTTTTACTTATTTAACTAATGTAGATGTTTATCAGGTTTCTGAATGGAAACCTATGTGTGAAAGTATTAACTGATAAATTAGGCTACTCAGGGTTAAGTGATTTTCTTTGCGTAAGTATTCCAGAATATGATGGATTTTCTTAGATAAACCCCAAATAGTTGATTCAAAGATAAATACGTGTGAGTGCACATGTGCACGTGTATACATATTTTTTTAAAAAAATGTTACCTAAGTGAGAAACTGTGTGGCCAGGCATTACTGGAATCAGTACTTACATTGTGCTTTGTGAGGTTTGAAATATTAGTTGCTATTGCTTGTAGCCAGTCGACGCAGTCTTCAGCGGAGAGGCACTGAATGATCCCACTGCAGACCCCATCCACAGCAATGACTTGAAAAGCATTCTGCCTGCAGATATGTCAGAACAAATCACATCGAAACGTCATCTCATTTATGTATTTGCAACTTGAAATGAAATCTATTAGAAATCTCTTCTTGCAAAGAACATAAATACAGCTGCAAATTCAGACTTGCTTACTTAATATCTCTGTTTTTAAATGGAAGTCCAAAGATAAACTAAGACAATATGTAATTTTGAACCACTAAAAACCATCTTAAAATTCAGATACGTTTAGAGATATTTTGAGTTATAAAATAAATATTATGTAAATGGAATAACATCTAAGATTATTTAGGATTCTTTTCACATTTACTAGAAAATTATGCATAGAATTTTATTATTTGGGCTACCGTCATCTTCTCTTGACATTTTCAATGCATTGTTTTATATACAATTGAAAGATCACATAAAAAACCCAATATTAAACATCTTGTAAAAATACTTGATATCATAAGCTGAAACATTTTGTTAATTGTTAAACAATTTTCAATCTCAATTTATTTATCTTCTTAAAGATGGTTTGGAAAAAGAGGTTCTTGTAGCTCCTCTTCCGGTCTAAATTTTCATACCCTAAATTATGTGACTGTTGTGCATTTCAATAACAAACTTTTCCTCAACATGCAATAACTGGTCTAAATATCTCTATGAACTTTTGTTGATTTTGTTGTTGTAGAAAATTAAACGATGCCATTTTAAATTGTTTACCAAAGTACAATGGAATTTAAAGAAACTCTGTACACCTTTAATATTTACATTTTCTGTATCAAGTTATTGCATATAAGTGTAATAAACAGGAATAGACAAAAATCCCAAAATAAATGGAAGGTAACCTTATGTCTCATGCTTGGGAATCACTCTGTTGTACAATGCAATAAACTTTGGAAAATAGATGAATTACATTTACATCCTTTTCAGAACTGGGCACTTGGTAAAAGCCTTTGCCTCTAAGACACTTTGCATCGAAATTATTAATATCTTTAGAAAAATTTGCTCTCGTGCCCTTGACCAAGCACTTTCTACTGATAACAAAGAAGTATTCAAATATACTTTTTTGTTTTATCTTAAAACTACATGAAAAGCCTTTAGGACGTACAACTATTGTTTATCTCTGAAATAGTCTTCTTTTGAATTTGTGACAAAAATATGCATGGCACACAAAAATATATAATTTTACATGATTTTCTCTGCTTTATCTTTGATATACAATGGTGAATACGACTTTTAAAATATCTAGACAGAAGCTGAACAACCTTGAAAAATGAGAATTACTTTGAATTTAGCAATATACATTTCTTTCCACGCTCTAATTATCACAACTATTGCTTCCTGTACCATAAATTAAAGCATATCTTGACCATATCTATTCATTCTGTTTTAAGTGAATAATGGCAGCTTAATATTTTAGCTTATTACAGTCAATACACCTAGATCAAATTTGTAATCTGTGTAATCATGTATGTGACATAAATCCTAGATAAAATAATTCTGAAGAATGAACCTTATATAAACCCAGGGTTATATATTAATAGACATCCCTTTTGACATTCTGTTTCTACTTTTCAGGTTGATTTGATGGAAACCCAATTATAAATATAAGTGAAGTATTTGAATGGTTTCAAATGGTTTACATACTATCTCTTACAAAATAGACTAATTACTGTTTGGGTCTTGATTTTCCCTAAAGGTCAATGAGAATAATATACTTTATAATTTAACAAGTATTTATGGAGTAACTGGTGGGATTCAAATACTTTCACATATCACTGAAGCTCTGTGAATACTTGTCCTCTGAATGTCCATCAACGGTGGTCTTGATAGCAGTGTTTGAGAGTATTTAGTAGAAATGTTTCAACATGGACTTCTTGTTTCATCAAGTGCGTAGGAAGAACTTTGGTGCTTTTGATTTCATGCGTAGCTTTTAGAAAATATAATTCTGTGAGTCGACATAATCAGGAATTAAAAAATTAAATATTCTTTGTTTTATATAATTTGATTGTATACTTTCTAAAATCAGTAGACTCCATTATTCATTTATTTAGTATTGTGAGACATTAAACTTTAACATTTGTACAATTATGATAGTTAATACACACACACACACTTGCAGAAAAAATAGTTGCATAATTAAACAGCTATATAATCTGAAGTTTTGAGTACAGAATATTTTTATAATCTTGTTCATTATTTTTTAAATATTTTTCTAAGGGTTACTGGTCATTGCTTTGGCAATAAAAATTATTCTCAAATGTGACCAAATTTCAAAGTAAGCTTATTCATTTATTTTCAATTTTCAAAAAACAACTGAATTGAATTTATGGGAGACATTAGTTAATAAAATTATATAGGTTTCATGTGTACAAACCTTTAATACAACATCTGTACACGTATTGTGTGTTCACCACACCATCCTGTCTCCCTTCACAACCATCGAACCCCTGATTTCTTCTACCTCCTCCCCCACCCCCTGCTAATCACCGTGCTGTGGTCTGTGTTTGTAAGTTTTTTTAAGTAAGTTTATTCATTTGAAATTAAAAAAAAAAAAGTCTTCCTTTGTATAAAAAATATACAACCCCTTCTAAAAATCCATGAATAATATTTAATAAAACTTACACATATACATAAATAGACGTAGGTTTCTGAGAGAAACCACTGCTGGGCTTAACAGGGACCGCGGGTGGGGATGTGCCCGGGGTGGTCCTGTCAGACGCTGAGAGGCTGTTGTAACCGTAAAACATGAGATGAGATGAAAATGAGAGGAACATACATTTTTTGAGAGTGAAAATGAAACAATTAGTTCAAGGGAATTTTAAGGTCATTTTAAGGTCATTAGGAAGGCTGTGATTTAATGACCACTTTTTTTTTTATCCTCACCCGAGGACATTTTTCTATTTTTTGTTCGGAGAGAGAGGAAGAGAGAGAGAGAGGAACATCGACGTGAAGGGACACATCGAGTGGCTGTCACCCGCACAACCGACCAGGGCCGGGGACAAACTGCAACCGAGGTACGTACCCTAGCGGAACCGAACCCCGGTCTCTCTGGACCGCAGGCCGACGCTCTAACCGCTGAGCAACCCGGCCAGGGCGCTGAGCTTTGTTCACACGGAAGGCGAGGGCGAGGAGCATCAGGGTTTCTCCAGGGCTTCGCGCTCCTGGCTGGGCGGTGGGCGAGGGGAGGAAGGGACGCCCACTCGTCATTGCGCAGGAGAGAAGCAGCCCGAAAGGAGCGCGGCAGCAGGGGAAGCGGCGGCCCGTGGGGAGGTGCCACGCCTGACACGCGGTCAAGCGGCGCTGATCTGAAGAGCTTCGTGGTCCGCCCTGGCGGTGCGGCTCTGCTGGTGGCACGTCCTCCGCTCAGAAGACACGGGCCCACTCCGGGCAGGGCGCCGCCGGCTGCCGCTTCAGTCTCCGGTTGGGGTGCATGCGGGAGGCAACTGACCAATGTCTCTCTCTCTCTCCCCACCATCCCTTGCCTTCTTCCTCTCTCTAAAAAAATCAATAATAATAAAAAAGAGCTTTGTAAGCCACGCTACAATATTTCAATCTAATCTTGAAAGTCTTAAGCATTGGAATAAAAGGATTACATTTGTATTTTACAATGATATCTCCATGGCTGTTAAAAAGATGAGAAACAGCCCAGGTGGTGTGGCTCAGTGGTTGAGCATCGACCCTGCACCAAGAGGTCACTGGTTCGATTCCAGATCAGGGCACACGCCCAGGTCGTGGGCCCGATTCCCAGTGGGGGCATGCAGGAGGCAGCCAACTGATGTTCTCTCCATCAATGTTTCTATCTCCCTCTCCCTTCCTCTCACTCTAAAATCAATAGAGAAAATGTTTTTTTGTTGTTGTTTTTTTTAAAAAAGATGGGAAACATAATAAGGAAGGTAAAGGAGATGTAGAAGGATATAAAATTACTCAAGATAAACAACGATGCAAATCTGTTTCAGGAGAATGGTTCTGTGTATGTAGGAAATAACATTTACTCAAAGGTATTGAAAATGTGTGTTTACTTGATTTGATTATTTGAGAAGGCGATAAATTAAATGAAAAATAAAAAGAAGTACCCAGGTTATGACTTCAACAATTTACTCTATTTCTTATTGAGTTCAATTCACATACAGCAAGTTCAGGATTATTTCTGCCCTACGTATGCTACCTTAAATCCCTCTCGTGTTATCTTTCATTATTCAGGCTTAAAACCTAAACTGTTTGCTGAAGTACATGCGTTTTTTCAAACCATTTTATTTCCTATTTCCCAGGGTTAAATTCACCAAACTGTTTTATGATTAGACCCTAAAACTCATGATTTCCTAAGTGTGTCTCTTTTCTCAAGCCCGGCATTCCCTTCGTCTACAGGCCTTTTATCCCACTCCGTTGACTACGTGTAAGGTAACCACAGGCAACAGGCCATTAACTCTCTGACCTCCAGTTTATCTGTGTTGTAAATAAAGATGGTGACATTTGTCCTCCACACCTCACATATGTAAACACTATTTTAAAGCATTTTTAAGTTCACAGCAAAACTAAGAAGGTACAGAGATGTCCTGTGCACCTCCTGCCCTTCACAGGCACAACCTCGTGCGTTTAAACACCCCCACCAGAGTGGCATGTTTGTTACATTTGATGAACCTACACTGACGCATCATTATCACCCCAAGTCCCACGTTTATATTTATATTTATACAGAATATTTCCATTGCCAAAAAATCCTCCCTGCTCTGCCAATTCATAAATACCAACATCCGACCATCCCCAGCTCTGCAACCACTGATCTGCTGTCTCCATAGTTCTGAGGTCACTAGAGGGTCACATAGTTGGAATTATACAGTACATAGTCTTTTAAGATTGGCTTTTTTTTTTTTTTTCCCATTTAGCAATATGTATATGGTCCCTTTGTGTCTTTTTATTAACTTTATTTTCGCTGTTGACACAATTAAAGATGTCGCGTGTTTCCCCCGTTCCCACCTCCACCCAGGCCCCGCCCCCTCCCTCTGGCACCACCGCTCTGTTG